AGTTCTGTGGTGGATCCACATGCACTCAGCATTTAGAATGGCTGCCGTAGGCAATTGAAAACGGATGTGGGGTTGAGCTGAAGATAACAGTTGTTTTCAAGCAATAACGATTTAAGCCACACCTGCTGGATGGTATCTGCCATTCAGTGATTGATTGGTGAGGAAACTCCAGTCAGGGCTTAGACGTGTATGCACACACTGTACCACGGCCCATTCCGGGCCCTGCATGCCAGTCGCACTGGAGTAGCATCCCTGTAAGGAATGCTATGGAACTACCGGGACACAGTGATTCACACGCACCTCTGCTGTGCACCCTGAGAAAGGGTGCTCTAATCACCAAAGTGCCACAGTTTGGTGTTAAGACCAGGCATGCACACTACCATCTACTTTGGTATTTGCTGGGGAGGGGGTCTATTGCTAAAAACAAGTTTATAAGCCACCGAGTATTATAAGAAGCTCTGGCTTCAGAGTGGGGGAACTTGTGTTCTAGTGAGTTCTGCTCAAGCTGGCATATTTGAATCGTACTTTATAAATCGAAGCCATTGGTCTGGAGGTGATCACCGAATTTATTCAAGAAGCTGGATTGCCTGATGTGTTTAGGCGAGGATGCAGGGATGCTTGTGGACAGCAGGTACATGTGCAGCTGTATGAGGGTGGCCTTGGGAAGTGTTGAGGGTTACAGGGACGTTGAAGTACATCACCTGGCTTCAGTATTGGGACAGATGCTGTCATTGCCTGCTCAGCAGCCCTTCACCCAGGCTTTCTTTCCCAGCCACCTTTGCAGCTGAGATGTGGCACGGTGGCATGGTACCCTTCCTTCATCCCTTCCTCTCCTTCTCTTATTTTGTGAGGATGTGTTTTTGGTGCTCCATGGGTCATCCTTAAGGCCTGTGCAGGCCTAAGAACAAGGGACTCCATGCTGAGCAGGGTCAGAAAATGGGAAGAGCCTGGATCCTTGATCTTCCCATGGACTTACTAAGATGATAAAAGTTCCCACTGCTGGAGCCTGGCTGCTCACAGAGTGGTCTGTGGGGCAGAGCGTCAGCCTGAGCTGAGAGGCTGCCAGCATGCAGGCCTGCAGACCCTGCCCATTCCCCTGGTGTCCAAAGCTGTCACACACCAGCTTAGCACTTTTATTTGGGTGCTCTGTAATTGGCAGCTATAATGTCCTTGCTGGCACAGACACCTTGTGGACTGACTGAGGCACTTTTGAATAAGAAGATACCCTACCAGGACTGATTCTGATGCCAGCACCCGCTGTTCTCACTGCAGCAGCCGACACAGACAGAATAAGCGCGTCTGTGGTAACCGCTGTACTGGTTGTCACAGGTTGAACCAGATGTTTCTGTGAGCACGGGATGGGTGGCCATGTGACGAGGGAGCTGCATTTTCAGGTGGTGTCAGGAGGCGCATGTGGCTGGCTGTGCAGTAGTCTGGACAGTACAAGCGTGGGGGCAGTGAGACGGTAGGAAGCCCCAGGTCTTTCTGCGCACCCTTTCATTTAGTGCCAGGGATGGTTCACTAAGAACAGAGGCAAAGGAGGGGAATCGAGGGAAAATCTGTGAGCCCAGAGCTCTGGTAGGGGTGGGGGAGCCCAGGCAAGGGCAGCAGAGCTGGAGAAATCCTTCGAGTCACCACCTGTATAGAGAAGGGCAGTGGCTTTCGCTCCAGGCACAGGAAGGGGGTGGAAGGCAGAGCTGGCCCTCCAGCTACTCAGACAGCTGGCAGACAGGGCTCTATGTGAGAAGAGTCTCTCAGTTCACGGACAAGCAGGAGCTCAGCGACTGCAGGTTCTCACCAGGGTCCTAGTCCCAGGCCTTGTTACAAGACCTTCCTGATCATGTGCTTGGAGTGACTGAGGCCAGTGAGGAGCGCAGTTCCACTAAGTTGGTCCGGTTCACCTGGGACTGCTCTGATTCAGCTCTGGCCTGAGGGGCACACTCCTTTGTGGGAATAGGTATTTCCTTCAGTGCGTCTGTCACACTTTTATATGAAACACTCACCCTGCAGTCCCTCAAAAATATTAGGACAAATAAAGGAAATGGGCTGGGGACTTTGCCCAGTGCAGAGCATTAGCCTAACACACAGGGGACCCTAGGTTCCAACCCCAGGACGCACCCAGTGTGGTGGTGCACGCCAGTGATCACAGCACTCAAGAGGCTGAGGCTGGAGGATCGCTGTGAGTTCGAGGCCAATCTGGGCTACATAGTGAACTCAAGACCAGCCTGAACTGCACTGCAAGATTCTGTCCCCAAAAACAACCAAACAGAAAACCCCAGCATTCCGGCAAAAAATAGAGGCAGGATATGTGATCCATCATCAGAAACGTAAATAGTAGAGGACCTAGAGGTGATTCAGATACTGCAGGTATTAATGTCATCTGTCAGAGACTTGGAAGTAACAATGATTGAGGGTCAGTGGATGAGAATAGAGGATGCAGAAACAACCCCAGGCACATTCAACTCTTTGATCTTTGGCAAAGAGCCAAAACACACTGGGGGAAAGACAGCCTCTTTCATAAACGATGCTGGAAAAATTGGCTATTCACATGCAAAAGATTGAGTCTAGACCTATATCTCTCACCATGTGCTAAACTACAATCAAAATGGCTCAAGAAACTAAATGCTAAAATAGAACCTGCTAGAAGATAAAAATGGGTGAGACTCAAAGTCATAGGCATCAGGAGGACTTTCTGAGCAGAACCCCAGCACAGAGGAAATAGCACAAAGACTCAACAGTGGGATCATATCAAACTAAAAGGCTTCTACACAGCAAAAGACCAACAGAGTGAAAAGACAACCTATACAGTGTGGAAAAAATTCTGCCAGCTATTCCTCCAATAGGACTACTATCCAGAATATACAAAGAACTCAAAAAATTAGACCCCTCTGAATTAAAAGACCCAATCCTCCCAAAATGGGCAAGTGAAATAAATACATACTTCTAGAAGTACAAATGGCCAGTACATACATGAAGAAATGCCCAACATCTCTGGCCCCTAAAGAAATGCAAATTAAGACAACACTGAGATTCCATCTGACCCATCTTAGAAGCTGTTCCCCTTCTAAGGTATTTTCCCAAAAAAGTTACGGATGTCATGTTACACTGTTACATGCATAGCCACTTTATAGCAGCACAATTCCTAATAGTTAAAACGTGCAAGCAGCCCATAGCTTACATAGCATGTGTTTTCTCTTACATAGTGTTATGGTTGATACATTGTGTCAACTTGGGGAGTCTACAGGTTTGGCTAAGTGACTCAGCAGGAAGCCAGAGTGCTTACTTTGTATACATTCTGAGCCTGTGAAAGAGGAGGGCAAAGATTATGTGAGAGCTACACGCCCCTTAGGTGGGGGTAGTCTGTTTACAAAGTAAGGCAGGGAAAGAAGATGCTTGCCGCCATTCCTCCGTTTTGCTCTGGCTGTTTGCTCTTCGGCTGCCATTCCCCCCTTTGCTCTTGTTGCTTTGCTACTTTCTGCCTGGGAGCCAGCCAAGTATGGACTAAAACCTCCACAAACTGTAAGCTAAATAAACCTTTCCTTCCTTCATTTTGGGCGTTGGGTATTTTGTCTCAGCAATGAGAGAAAAGTAACCAAGACACATGAGAAACCCAAGGTATAAGTAGAACAAAATAATAGACAATAGGGAGAAGGGAGCTAGATCTTTCTCAGAGGGGAAGGAGAGCAAGAGATGAGGGAAGGAAAAAGACTCCATGTGTTGTGTGCATGTGCCTGCTCTGCACCAGGAGTGTGAACGGTGAAGAAAGTGATCTGGGAAGAATAATTCCCACGAAGGAACGCAGCGTCACAAACCGAGACAAGGGCCAGAGAAGGCCGACAGTGACCCTTGAGCTGAGTCTGGGGAGCTTGAGCACCGCCAGCTGTACCAGACCCTACTGGGGTCTCTGAAACTCGAGAAGACAGGCTAGCTGCGGAAATAGCCAGGAGGAAGGGTAGCAATAGGGCCAGGAGCGAGCCGGGCTCACTTGCATGTCCTCCGTTGGCCACATGGAGGATTTCCGACTTCCTGAAGGATTTAAGCAGGGCTGAGGGGAACAAAGTAGTATGTGGAAAGCTCTCTGCGGATACCGATTTGAGCACTGGATCGGATAGGGCCAAGGGAGATTCAGAAAGGCCAGCTAGCAGCATTTGCAGTACTCTGCATGAGGCAGTTAGCGTGGTAATGAAGGTGGAAAGAAGTGGTTTTGGGTTTGGTTTTTTCTGGCAGCATTGAACCCAGGGCCTCTGCACTGAGCTACATCCCTGGCCCTTTTTATTTGTTTTTATTTTGAGATAGGATCTTGCTCAGTTGCCCATGCTGGCCCAAATTTGGAGTCCTCCTGCCTCAGCCTCCCAGATTGTTGGGATTATAGGCATGCATCCCCTGCATGGGTTCAGCTGTTAGGTCAGCCAGTGATACCATTCCTTCAAATTTTCAGTCTTGTGGTAGTATATGGTGATACACATATTAACTTTCCCATAGTAAAAACCTCAGTTTCTAGGATGACTAATTTTTTTACAGGTTAACCTTGTAAGTTTAGAGGAGCAGTGATCAGCAGTTCAGAATTGCCCCCTGAAATATTAAAGTTTCTTTGCAATTGAAATGTGAGTACCTGGAATTAGAATTATCTCTGCCATTCCTTAAGTGACAGGGATGTCATTTAAGAATAAGAAGTTGAACTCTTTTAAAATAGCTTTAAAGTCTTGTAGATTTACTATTCAGTTATCACTTTGGTATTTATAAAGCAACTCACAATTACTCCCTCCAAAAACCATTTTTATTTCCACAGGAGGGAAAGTTTTTTGTTTTTCTTTGCTAGCTTGTATGGCCAGAGTGTTGCCCTGGGCGTTTACTGAGTCCTCACCAGCAGTGAGAAGACGGCTATGGCGTTAACCTCGGCCTCGGCTTGTGCTGCCCGTGCTCCTGTAATGCTGACTAGGGGAGTAGGATGGTGGAGTAAGCGTCAGTGGGAGTGGAATTCACAGTGTTTTATTTTACAGGGAAAATATTTGTCCCCAAAAAGAAACCCGTAGAAACCTTTACAGAAGAAAATATCTCTCTTGACCCAGAGTTAGAAGAAGCTCTGACGAGCGCTTCTGACACGGAGCTGTGTGACCTCGCAGGTGAGTGGCCTGGGTGGCAGGGGACGCCAGCACACATCCCTGTACAGCGCAGCAGGGTGCCCTGGGTCAGCAGCCCTATGTGACCCTGAAGTCAGGCTTGCGGGAAGGCTCACGGTGACGTTCTCACGCTAACCGAGCAGACTGGCCTTTTCCTGGACTCGAAAATTTTTCTAGAATTCTCATCTGCTGATGCTCAGCTGGAGGCTGCCCCGCTGGCAGGCAGGGAGATCACAGGGTCCACTGCCTTGTCTCATCTGGAGACCCAGGGCTGGCTCGTGAGAAGAGGGGGACGGTCAGCCCTGACCACCCACTGTGCTCTGCCTCCCTGACCTCTGCCCTGCTCGTCCCTGCCAAGTGCTCTTCTCGGCCGGCGTCTCCCACCTGCCATGGGGACGCCATTCCCCTGGGTCCATGGGGAGCCCCTTGTACCTCGTGACCCCAGCATTAACGTTTCTGGAAGCAGCAGCCTGAGCCTGAGGGCGGCGGTAGGAAGGACACCCGGGGTGTGGCATCACAGCTGGAGTACTGGCTCACCCTTGAGGGACTGTGCTGGTGGATGTGTAGATGGTCTGGTCATCAGAAAGGGGTGGCCAGGAGTGCACTGGGTTCCACTTTATTTGTACAAAAGGCCATCCAAAACCAAAGCCACCATTTCCCTCTTGCATGTTATTTTTAAGAGATGCTGCTTTATTCTTAAATAGAAGAATTAATAAAACTTTTAGTATGCTAAGGTTAGGCCAGCTCCAGCTATGGGCCTGAATTAAAACATATGGAGAAGTCTTAAGTTCAGAAGGATGGGAGAAAATACCCGGGATATTGAAGAGAATGAGATAGAGACTTTTAATCCTGTTATCTCCCGCCCTCTTTTTTTTTTCTTATGGCTGAAAAAAGTCTCTGTTTAATGTAGTCATAAGCCAGGCTGAGTGACACACACCTATCGTCCCCGCCACCCAAGAGGCTGAGGCAAGGGGATCTCTTGAGTCTAGTTCAGCTTCTGCCTGGGCAGCATAGCAAGACTCTGCCTGCAAAACAGAACAAAAAAGTTGTAAACAAGAGGAAATAAAAATTAACTGTCATCTTCTATCTCTACATAGCTATCCTTGGAATGCACAACTTGATAACAAATACTCAGTTCTGTAACATTGTGGGAAGCAGCAATGGTGTCGACCAAGAGCACTTTTCCAGTGAGTACTGACATGCTTCGTGAATTCCAGTCTCCTGTTAAATACCTGTTAAACATTTCATTTCCTCCCTGTAAAGTGTTTGGTATTTACTTATACAGTGCCATACATGTATACTTGAAACTTGAAATTCCAGCTTGATGATACTGACAGAGACCACCACTGAAAATAGAATATTAAATAATGTATGCTTAATGTGTCAGCAACTGTTTACAGGAACCACTCTCACCTTAGTAAATAAGATTAATGTAAAAACTGGCCACACTATTTTTTATTATTTTTGTATCAGTGTTCCTGATTTTTAAGAAATCCATACCAGGTCTGACAAATTATTATAAAATCACATTCAGGAGGAACCACTAAAACATTCAGCCTCCAAACCCTTCAGTCTGATGCAGAGTGTTAAATTGCTTAAAACAAAGCTGGGCGTGGTGGCGCACACCTGTAATCCCCTTGCTCCGGAAGCTGAGGCAGGAGGATTGTTGTGAGTTCGAGACCAGCCTGGGCTACAAAGTGAGCGCAAGACCAGCCTGAACTGCATGATGATACCCTGTCCCAAAAAAAAGACAAAAAAAAAAAAAAATAGCTTAAAACAAAGCTTTCTGAAAAATGTATTTGTCAAGCCATGTATGGTGGTGCGTGCCAATAATTCCAGTTGCTTGGGAGACTGAGGCAGGCGCATAATAAATTCAAGGCCAGCCTGCGTAACTTAGGAAGATATTGTCACAAAATTAGAAATAAAAGAGCTGGAATTGTAGTGCAGTAGTAGAACACTTGCAACTATGAGGCCCTAGCTTGGATTCCAAGCACCACAAAGACAAAGTTAATTCACTCGCATCATCTGAGCCCAGCTCGTGTCCAGATTTCCCTTATCCTCTCAATGTTGTTTCACACTTGGTCAGATCTGTATCTAAATAAAAGTTACTCATTGCATATGGTGGTTCTTTCAGTCTTTTTCTGAACAGTTCTCTCCACCTTTCACCCCTTTTTCCGTGCCATGTATTTGACGACAAAACTGTTACTCGTTAAGTAAAAATTTCCACATTTAGATTTGGCTGATTGCAGCCTTACAGTCTTACATGTTTTTCTCCCTCCTGTGTTTCAGGAAAGAGTTAAAAGTCTAATAGCTTGGTCAGATTCGAGTGTGGGGTTTGTTTTGTTTTGTAAGAATGAATCACAGAGACTGAAACTAAGTCTGTCTTTAACTTGTACCAAAGTCAAATGAAATGGATCTGAGACCTGGATATAAGACCAGAAACTTTCAACTGCTGAGAGTGTAGGGACACTTGTGGCCCTAGTACAGGTGGAGACTTCTTGAACATCAGTGCGGGAGAATATGGCGGGGTCACCAAATGGCTTGTGCCAGGTTAAAAGCTGCAGTGCAGAGGAGACAGCTGACCATGAAGAGACAGCTGCAGCACGGGCAGAGACTTCGCCAGCTACTCTCAGCGGGATTCATATCTAGAGTATACAGAGAGCTCAGAAATTCCTTCCCCAAAGGGAATGGCCCAGTGAGCAGACGAGCATATGAACTACCACTTCTCCAAAGAAGTAGAACACAAATGGCCAATAAGTGCATGAAAAAGATGTCCTCCATCTTTAGCCATCAGAGAAACACAAATCAAAACTGTACTGAGAATCCATCTCAGAGTGACCATCAGCAAGAATAGAAAAAAAGTGTGGATTTTCTTGGGGAACATATCCAGGGGAGGTACACCTGGGACAAAAGGGATTCTACGTTTAGTTTTTTGAGGAATCACCACACTGATTAAAAACATCACACTGTAGTGATGCATACATGCCCATCTTCATAGCAGCAGGATTCACACTAGCTGCCCTTTGGAAGTAGGTGAGTGAGTAGAGAAAGTGTACTATATACACACTGGAATATTACTCAGACACATAATGAACTCATGTCATTTCCAGGAAAATGGATGGAGCTAGAGACATAAGCCTGTCTCTTAAGTCATGGTGGTGTTGAGGATATGTTCCTATGACCCCAGCACCGGGGAGGCTGAGGCAGGAGAATCATAAGTTTAAGGCTAGCCTGGGCTACATAGTTGAGACCCTGTCTCAAAAAAAAAAAAAAAAAGAAAAAGAAAAATATTGTGCGTTTTCTGTCATATGAACGATCTAGAAAGGAAAGAGGGAAATGAATCCATAAATGAGAGATGGCAGAAAACTAGAAGGCAGATTTTTAGTGATGGTGAAAGAAGTGGTAATGGAGGTAAAAGCAATCAAAATGTTAGGTACATGTACCAATGTACCAGAACACATCTCACCAGTCTGTGTTACAGGTATGCATTAATGAAAAAGCAGTGCTTTGTTGATGATGACTGAATCGTGTTAGAAAGCTTATCCCATCTGCTCCTTGTCTCCAGGGAGCAAGGTTGAGGTGGAGGTCGCGTGGTCCCCTGGATCCTGTCACCTAAGCATCTCGTTGACAGGACCTGTTATTTCATTCAGCGGCAGCTTTACACATACCCGGTGGGGTGGGGAAAGAGACCTGTCAGTTTTGTGCAGTTCAGGACTTACTCATTCAGTGAGGAGATGTTTCCATCGCTGGCCGAGTGGACCGGAGTGCAGGCCTGCTCTCTGTTCAGTGAGAGCTGTGGCTGACAGTCTTTGGGGAACTGTGGAGACGAAGCCTTCTAGTCAATTCGGGTGAATTCACACTGTGAGGGAGTTGGGGAGAGGTGTGGTACCTTGTCATTGTCTGTACTCTCTGTACTAGCGTCACCCAACTCAGTCTACTCTGCTCTTTGTGTGTCATCACAGATGTGGTGAAAGGTGAGAAGATTGTCCCAGTATTTGACGAGCCACCAAATCCAACCAACGTTGAGGAGAGCTTGAGGAGGATTAGGGAGAATGACGCCCACCTCGTCGAGGTCAATCTGAACAACATAAAGGTGGGTGTGTTAGGCAGACTGGGGTGGCCTGGTGTCGCTCGCTGTGAGTCAGCTGAGCCCAGGATGACGGCCGGCCGGGCAGTTTGCATGTGATAGGCTAGTTCTTTCTGCTTTGAAGGGAAAGCTCTTACTCCTAACAGTGTGCTACCATAGCGCCTTCAGATGTTAGAGGTGTTACAGAACAGTGCTTTCTGACTTGCTGTTTATTTTTTTATTTTTTAAATGATATAGTGGATTTATTATCATAGTTTCATAAAACTGACTTGCTTTTTAAAGATGTTATAAAAACCGAAGCCCTACAGGCTGTCAGTAAATCTCCAGCTTTTTCATTTTAAAGAGAATAAAAACAAAATAACATGGACAAAAGCAAAACAAAGCAAAAACAAGAATGATACATACAGTGTTTCAGAACAAAATGATAGGAATTAACAGTGGTTGTTACATTACCTATTGTTATCTTCAACAGAGTTGCTCATATTACCAGATGTAAGAATGCAAGATTAATCAAACCATTAGAGAGAATAAAAAATAATAAAAAGCACTAGAAATGATCAGAGCTTCACTAAACAAGATGGTAGAAACTCAGCAATGGTTGTTATACTGCATATTGTTGTCTTCAAAGTAGTTGATCAGATTACTAGATATAAGCATGCAAAATAGGTCAAAAATCTCCAACTTTTAAGAACTTTATTTTTGTTTAAAATGAGATTTCCTCAGGTGGTATTTGTATATAGTAAAATTCCCCCTTTAAATGTGCAGCTCTGGGAGTTGTGACGTTTATTCAGTTGTCAGCCAGCTCCAGAGTCAGATGTGAAGCATGTCTGTCACCCCGACGGCCCTCACCTGGCTCCTGCCCTTGACTGCTCTGGGTGGGTTTTCCTCCCCATCCCTGTGCCTCCTTGAGACACTGTATAAGTGGGGTTGCACAGCATGTAGCCTTGGAGTTTGCGTTCTTGCTTGGCTTAATGCATTTGAGATTCCTCGACAGTGTAGGAGGCATCCTTAGCTGGTTTCTTTCTATTGCCGATTAATGGTCCATCGTATGGATAAATGGATTGTTCATCCATCCGTCAGGTGATAGACATATGGGTTACTTCCCATTAGGGTCATTTATCACTGAACAGTTTATCCTGAGTGTCACTCAGGCAGGTGTCATTCCAACCAGTCAATTCTTATGTTGAATAAATTTGATAAAACTTGTTTTTATATTTCCTTTTATCTTATAAAAATTAACAAAAAATATGCAATTTTTGGTCATCCTGTATTTAAATAATGGGCCTGGTAAGTAGTTGATAACGTATGAAGCCACTGTATACATTTACGTACAGGTTCTTGTGTGACTGTATGGTTTTATTTCTTTTGAGTAAATACTTACAAATGGACATTCTGAGATCTTACTAGGCCTGAAACTGCAGCTCCTCCTTGGGTCATTTGTCTTGCTCACCGTGCAGAACTTTCATTTCAAAGTCCTCGTTGTAAGTCTTGATTGCACCGAGCCCTGGGGTGTAGGAGGCAGCACCTGGAGATTAGAGGCTGCTGGGAAGAGGCTCTGCCCTCCGGTGGACGGGGGAGCTGGAGTCCTGGCGTCAGCCCTGCTTTCGTCATCTGCAGATGGGCGTATGAAGGCTGCCAGGCTGTCCAGGGACTGGAGGTCTCAGTGCCCGGGAGCCAGGGCCTTCTCTAGTGGTGTCCTCCCCCCAGGAGTGGTGGGCTGCGTTCCAGATACCTTGTGAGCTGCCTGACTGAGGACAGGGGGTCTCTGCCCCAGGTTTCTGCTTGGCAGAGATGAGGTCCACCGTACACAAGCGGGGTGCGCTTCAGTACAGGTGGTGACTCCGAGCGGAGAAGAGACAGTGTCTTTAGCTGAGGGTTAGACGGTGTGGCCTGTGCGCTGCTGTGCCCCACGGCGGGTGCGCCTCACCCAGACGGAAAAGTCAGGCGGCCGCAGAGAAGGCCGTGTGGTTCCCACTTGCTGACCGGTGTCTGTTTATGTAATTTCGGAGGACATTTTCAAGTAAAGTGCAAGTACAGATATATTTGGTGAATGGACTGAATTGCCTGAGAACTAAAATACAGTGTTTCACATTATTCTGTCCCAAGAACATCCCAATTCCAACCCTAAAGGAGTTCGCAAAGGCGTTGGAAAGCAACACACACGTGAAGCACTTCAGCCTTGCGGCCACCCGGAGCAACGACCCCGTGGCTGTGGTGAGTGCCCTGCTGTTGATGGGATCAGACCGTGCTTCCTGCCTGGGCGTGCTTCAGTGGCTTAAAGTGTGACTTTATACGCAAGGTCTACCTTCTTCAACTACCCTTTGATGTTTTTCCCTGAACTTCCTATAAACTTTTAAAACATAAATGGGGCCAGATGTGGTAGTGCTTTCCTGTAATCCTAGCACTTGGGAGACTGAGGCAGGAGGATCACTGAGGGCTGTGTAGTGAGTTCAAGGCCAACCTGAACTATAGTGAGAACCTGTCTCAAAAAAATAAAACAAAAGTAATCCAAACCATGTGTAGGGCTGGGGCTGGGGCTCAGTGCTACCTTGTGGGAGGCCCTGGGTTCAGTCCCCCATACAAAACAGAGACAAACTCATAAGTGGAATCGTGCGATAGCTATATGCTGTTCCATTGCTTAACTTTTTGTGTGTCTTGGAGATCTTTCCATGTCTACTGTATTCTTTACCATCTGTGGAGTTCATTTTGGATCTGTCATCCTGGGTCTTTGTGCAGTGCTTTTCAGTGTCTGTGGCGGTGATCACTGTGTATCCCAGGCTGGCCTTGAGCTCACTGTGTGGCCTAGCCTAGCTTTGAACTCGGCAGTCCCCTTGCCTTGGCCTCCTGAGTGAAAGTTCTGCATTTAAAGAGCCAGTACAGCCCTCCCCGCCCCAGAATGCCCACCTTTCCCGCTTTGTCTTCCCCATTTTGCTCATCCACTTGCTTGTTGTTTGTCCTCACCAGAACGGCAGATCCCGGGCAGGGACTTCAGGTTTCCTGTTAGATCTGCAGCTTGGGGCTGGCAGGTGTAGGCTGAGGTGTAGACTGTCGGCAACCCTGGAACAGACGTATGTGGGGTGGGTGAGGAGTTTGCCACCTGGGCAGAGCCTGTCGCCCTGCATGGAAGGGACAGTGTGTGGTGTCCGTCCCTAGCTCTCTCTAGGCTCTGCCCTACTGTGTTGCCTTTTCTCTCTTTTGGCGGTCAGCTTTTGAGGAGAAGCTCGCTTTTGACCCCTCTGCAGAAGCTGAGCCCCGGTGTCCCGCTCCTGGGTCTCTCCTGCCCTCACACTCGTCTCCTCCCCACTTCTCCCTGGGCTTCTGCCAGCGGTCGGTGCAGGGAGCAGGCCTGGCACTGACGCATAGGCTGTGTGCTTTTCCCCAGTGGCCACCTGTGGTCTGGTCTCCTGCCCCTCTCTCCCCAGTGTAGAGCTTGATTCCCCTCCCATGGCTGCACGGTGGCCCCGAAGCAGAACCTCTCGTGAGACGCTGCTGAGTCCAGCTCCCAGGGAGGCTGAGGGCCTGGGACCAGGAGGTGGCTATGGGCAGGGTGGGGCGGGTGAGCCTGGCAGATGAGGCAGATTGAGGGCTGTGGCCCAGGACAAATAGTTGCTGTCAGGCTGGTGGTGTGAAGAGCTGTGTGCAGGCAGGCACATAAGTAGTGTATGTCGTGGCGCCCGCCAGTGTATGACACAGCTCACGTCCGGTGTTTCTTCCCTTCCTAGGCGTTCGCCGACATGCTGAAAGTGAACAGAACCCTAAGAAGTTTAAATATGGAGTCCAACTTCATCACGGGGGCAGGCGTCCTGGCACTAATCGACGCCCTGAGGGATAACGAGACCCTGGCCGAGCTCAAGGTGGACAATCAGGTCAGCGGTTGGCTGCAGGGCACATATGACATGGGACGGTGTCTGTGGCCACCCCCAGTCATCCCCAGTGAGGGCTGTGCTGTGGGGCACCCTGCGGCGCTTCAAGCTCTGCAGTGCAGTTCACGTCATGGCCTGTGACAGGTCCCCAGGCCATGGCCAGGGTCAGGGGAGAGTACCCGCGCCATCACGGGGGCCCCTTGTTCCTTTGCTTCGGAAATAACCTCAGTTGTGTGAAACACTGGTAAATGTAAGTGTCTCCCTCAGACCTTCAGAGCAAACTTCGTGAACTCTGAAGGTTGAAAGGATGACTTCTGACAATTTAGCCAGAATGCTTCATCCACGTTTAATTTGAGGTATAATCCATACATACACCTGGAAGCTCACTCTGATGGAACGGTGAAGTGTGTAATACACTCTGAGCTCTGCAGCCAGCCATCACCACTGCAGAGCACTACCCTCGTCCAGAGGGGAAGCCATGTGCAGAGCAGTCGCCGCACAGGCCCTGCCCCTCCAAGGCGGGCTCACCCGTGCACCTCTGTGGGTTTGCCTGGCCGGGCTCCACGTCAGTGATCGTGCGATGCGTGTGCTCCATGTCAGCTGCTTTATCCTAGTGTAGTGGTGGCAGACCTGTAGCAGTGAGCCACAGTGGGCACGCAGCCTTGTTAGCTCATGAGCCAAGCCACCCCCAAGCCAAGCATCAGGTAACATTTGTTTATTTTAAACTGAAACCTCAGTATTCAGGTTTCATTGCAGTGTTGGCACTTGGTAATAAATATGTGGGTTTTGGGTTGCAGTTTGGGCGGTCGTCTTTAAAAGGTTCGCCATCACTGCCGTAGTGTATCTGGGTGGCAGCTATAGCTATACTTCGTTCCTATGTGTGACGACATAGTGTTCTGTTACATTTGGAGTGTTTCCACCTTTCAGCTGTTAAAAATGATGATATGAGCCAGGTGTGGTAGTGCGCATTTGTAATCCCAGCACTTGGGAGGCTGAGACAGAAGGATCAGCATGAGTTTGAGGCCGGCCTGAGCTACATACCAAGACCCTGTCTCAAAAAAAAGTCATTCAGTCAATAAAAATAGTAATGATATTTACATTCACATGCCAGTTCTTATATGAACATACACTTGCATTTCGTAGTGGTGTGTGGAATTGCTGGCCCGTGTGGTTACTCTTGTGGTTTTCTTTTTGTATTTTTTTTTCCTGTAATTCTCAAATGGTTTTCTATAGCAGCTGCACTATTTTATATTCGTACCAGAAATCTTAACAGCCACACATTTTTGGCAGCTTGTGTTACTGTTGTCCTTTTTTCTTTCTTTTTTTTGAGACAGGGTCTCGCGGTGGTGCCCAGGCTGGTCTTCAGCTCCTAGGCTCAAGCAGTTTTCCTCCTTCAGCCTCCTGAGTCGTTGCGATTATGGGGCTCACACCAGCATTCGTGGTGCTTACCTGTCCTTTTCGTTATGCTCATCCCCAGCGGTTGAACTTTTAAAAAATTTGTTTCTCACATCGTGTGATGTTGGAATTGGGAAAGTTTAAAGAACAGAACTAGCCTGTGCCTTACTGTGTTAGTCTTGATTTTTCTGAGTATTTTGGCACTTTGTATTTATAGTGTTTTTCATTTGTGATTCTTCCAGCGGCAGCAGTTGGGAACGGCTGTAGAATTAGAAATGGCCAAGATGCTTGAGGAAAATACAAATATCCTGAAATTTGGCTATCAGTTTACACAGCAGGGACCCCGAACCAGGGCGGCCAATGCTATCACCAAAAACAATGACTTAGGTAAGGCATTTCAAGTTGAGTTTCTGGATCATGCTATTAAGCTAATATGTGGAGGTTTTTACTTTTAAATGTAAGTTTTAACACAGAGAAATTCCTTGTCCTTTGTTCCTGTGATCTGCAGCGTCCGTTTTATCTGGGTGCTCAGGCTGAGCCAGGTGATGGTGACAGTCAGGTGGGTCATTAACCAGCTTCCTGGGACAAGCATGTTTCAAGTTTTAAGTGAAGTTTTGACGATAAAGATTTTGTTTTCAGTTACAAATCAGACCTTGTAGCTATTAAAACAAAGATTTCTACATTACAGGAAAGTGTTTTACCATTTTCCTCAAACAAACCCAGATAAGAATTCAAGTTTATGTGAAGGGGACACAGAACAGTTTTAACCCCAGGTTGGAGTCACACTGCCCATCTCCCGGGTGCAGAGCCGCTTGTCTTCCGTGGTGCTGCTAAGGCCCACAGCTTCTGTGTGGGCTGAGCTCGCCAGCCAGGGCTCCATTAGAGGGGATGCACGCGCCTGGCAGCTGAGCCAGAGTGCAAGATGCCCTGAGGTGGAAGTGAATGTGAATTTCCACCTGTGTGGGCCACATAATGAGACCTGTCTCCCAATTACAACATAAAAAAGGGAACACCACACTTAATTCTGTTTCTGCATGTTTTAAGTTATGGTTAAAATTGATATTAAAATATTTCAAACGATGCATTTTGGAGAAGAATTGAAATAAGACATCCCAAAAGGAGTGACATTTTAAAGTGTTCTTATTCTTTTAAGCTCCAGCCAAATTGGAGTTTATATTCTTTCAATGTTTGTGGAGCAGAAACAACACAGCTTTGGTCTCTCACCACGATCAGTGTGGAAAGCATCAGTTCAAACCCCTCCCCTTCTTCTATGGCTGTAGTTTCCCATGGGGAGTTTTAGCCACCTCCTTTTTTTTTTTTGAGGCAGGGTCTCACTGTGCAGTTCAGGCTGGCCTTGAGCTCCCTTTGTTAGCCCAAGCTGGTTTCGAACTTGGCAATGATCCTGCCTCAGCCTCCTGAGTGCTGGGGTTACAGGCACGCACCACCACGCCTGGTGCCACTTACCTTTTAAACAGGATGGGTGTGCTTTGCTGTACTGTTGATTATAGGTGTAGCTTACACAGTCATGCAGTTGTCTTACTGTTGGTTTACTACTGCACTTCCATTTTTTTCCTTGTAGGTCCCCCCTCTCCCCCCGCAACCCCAAAGGACTGGGGCTCAGACTTGGGGCCTGCATACTTAGCTACATTTCCTACCCCTGTTTAAAGTTTTTATTTGGGGCCAGGGATATAGCTCAGTGGCACAAGCGCCTGCCTGGCAAGTGCAAGGCCCTGAGTTCGATTCCCAGTAACAAAAAAATAAAATAAAATAAAAATAAAGTTTTTATTTTGACAGGTTCTTGCTAAGGCAGAGTTGCCCAGGCTGAGCTCAAACTTGCAGTCCTCCTGCTTCAGCCTTCTAGTGAGCTAGGATTACAGATGAGTACCACCACACCTGGCCTGTGCTCAATAATTTTGCTTTTCATAGCAGTGTTTCTCAAGACTGACCAAACTTCATGAATAACTGGAAAGCATTAAAATTCTTGGCTTTCCTTCCCTTCACAGTTCCAGTCTAGTTGGCCTGGGGCCGATGTCGGGCCCTAGGCCCTCTGAAGGGAACCTGCTGCAGGCCGTGCTGCTCGGTGGAGGCTCCAGCCTGCTTCTCCCGGGGGAAGTGGACGTTTGGGCTCGAGTGCCGGCAGTTGACCCTCTGCGTAGCGGTCTCCCCTGCCCTCTTGTCACAGCATTGGACACGCTTCCCAGCTGCCTTTCATGTGGTAGTTACTCCCCACCAAGCGAGTATCTTCAAGTGCTGTCGGTGTTTCGAGGACAGGGACCATGATGTTGGCAGGGCTGGGGCCAGCCGTTACGTCAGGTGTCTCCTCAGCCTGCCTGCCTGGGTGCTGAGTGAGAGTGAGTGCACAGGGTAGGAGTCACCTCTGCTTCTAGCCCCCGTGCTCCTGTGACCCGAGAGTGCAGTTGAGCACAGGCCAGGTGTGGTGGTACTCATCCGTAATCGTAGCTCGCCAGGAGGCTGAAGCCTCAGGCACCCTTCGCGCCACTCTGAAACTGTCCCAGCAGAGCCCAGGTACCACCCGTGGCTTTGTGGCCCCAGCTGTCTCTGTCCCCGTGCCCTCGCGAGCAGTCAGTGACCCCAGCGATAGTCACGGCAGGGCAGCCAGCCTTCACCGGACCCTGGTGTCGTGTCTGTGGCAGGCTCGGCCTGTTTCTGTCTGGAAAGACGTGTCCGGCTGTGATTCAACAAGGTCTGGGCAGCAGAGTGCCTGCCGCCTGCCTGGCCCCCATAGTGAGGCGCTGTCCTGGCGGCCTCCAGGGTGTGCAGGGGGGCAGTGCAGGCGGGTCCGTGCCTTCTGCTGTTCTCACCAGCGCGCATGTGCAGACGCGGAGCTCTGTGCAGCAGCACAGGACCACCTGCCTGGGCTCGCGGGCCAGAGCCTCAGGTCGGTGAGTGACCCAGCTGCTCTTGTGCGAGGAAGAACGGCCTGTGGGCTCCGAGAACTCAGCCTGATGCTGGATCCCAGACTCCCCCAGAACTTGTCTGAGTGCCAAAGGCTAGAAGTGTGATGCCAGCCAAGTAAGGGAAAGTTGGGTTGGCAGAAGACGCCGAATCTACTGGAAAGAACTTGGACATCTTTTGAGTTTTGTGTAGGCAATTTGAGAGCCATTATAGGCCTCTGAATGCATGGGTGAGATAATATTTGGAAACTGTTCAGCCAGGCATGGTACCACACACCTGTAATCCCAGCACTCAGGAGGCTGAGGCAGGAGGATCGCTGGGACTTTGAGGTCAACCTGGGCCACAAAGTGAGTTCCTGGCCAGCCTGAGCTGCATAGTGAGACCCTGTCTCAGAAAGACCACCGCCCCCCACCCAAAAAAAAAAACCAAGAAACTAGAAGCCAAATTACACTTAGAAACTCAGGGTGATTAGGATTTCTCCACAGCAGCATCAGGTTGGGAAAGAAACTGGATCCTCTTCAAAAAAATCATCAGGGTAGAATTTATAAGCCTGCCACCTAATGGTGAGCTGAGGAATTGCTGGCAGGTGACGAGCCAGGTGAGAGAGAGGAGGCAAGGGCGGTGGTGTGGTCCCCACGGGAACAGCAGCCACCCAATCTGCTCTCGCTGTAGGCACTCAGTGCGGTGTTTTCCCCACCCGTCCCCTGCCATCTCCGCAGTGGGTCAGCTGAAAAGCCTCAGACACATTCTCGGACCTGCAGGGCTTCTGGCCTGAGGTGGGGTGGCTCAGAAAAGCCTTCAGAGACCAGGGCGTCAGCTTGCGAAGGAGGCGCTTTCAGATCTTCAGCGTTCTGACTTGGATAAAGTTGTCCCTCCTCATTTCTTCTGCCCAGCTTTTTGGTGATGCCATTCTGCTGCGTCGGTCCTGTCCAGCCACAGAATATTACAGCCGTGCAAGCGCAGAGACAGTGGCAGTGGGCCTAAGACCCACTGTGCAACATGGGCAGCTCTGCACCACTTTTGTTTTCCTACTCTGTCCTGTAGGCCTCGTTCCCAGCATGCATTCTCACGCCCGCTGTGATGGGCCAGTGACGGCCGCACACTGCCCCCAAGAATTGTGTGAGGTTTGTGTTTCTGACACTGTATATCCAGAAATGTGTGTGTGTAAGCTAAGTTTGTACTTGGGAACTCTAGTCTCCCTTGGGTTTTTTTTTCCTGTTTTTTTTTTTGTTTGTTTGTTTTTCTCCGGTACCGGGAACCGAACTCACGACCTTGTGCTTGCCAGGCAGGCGCTTTGCCGCTGAGCTAAATCCCCAGCCCCATTTTTCCTGTTTTTATTTTTGGCCTTGCTTTGTAGTCTAGGTTGGCCTTTAAGTCCCTGCATAGCCCAAGCTGTCCTTAGACTTGCCTGCCTCAGCCTCCTGAATACTGCAAAAACACCCTTAATAATTCAGTAAGCATAAAACTTCTTTCTTCATTAGCATGAACTGAAATTAGTCAGAGGCAAGCTTGAATTGGCCAGTGTGAAGTGTGCATAGGAATCTGAGACTTTTGTAGCTGTCCCCAGCCCAACCTGCACAAGCACTCCTGCGTGTTCCTTCACACCCACTGTGGCTGCCGCAGTGGTCAAAGAGCCAGGAGCAGTGGTTCTGTGGCCTGGCCCGAGGCCAGTGCCTCTGGGCTCCTGTTCCAGGTTAGCTGCTGGGGGCAGGGCCACCCTTTGTCCAGAGAGGAGGGAGTAGGAAACCTCAGACCGACCTGACATGTCAGGTGCACTGCGAAAGCATGGAGGTCAGCAACGCGCCCACACATGTCCTCTGAGCCAACCAGCCTGACCCCGCTGGCCAGGACCCTGGCCGTCTGTGACCTTCCCACGGCGGCTGGTGACACAAGCACTCATCGTGCCTGCAGCCACACAGCTGTGAGGTACACACGTCGCTGGCCACTGCTGCAGAGGAGCTGGGCACAGAGGGTCCCTGCCTTGTGGCAGCGGGACAGCACCGTGAGTCACGTGCCATCCATCACTGTCTGGAACCTGTGCTGCTTCTCCTTCAGTAGGAATTGGCTGGAAGGCCGAGGCATGCTGGTCTGGTGACGCCCGCCGACACTCTGTGGCTGAGGGGTGGGAGCACAAGCACACGACCCTGAAGCAGAGACCTGCCCTGCCTGATGTCCTCAGCCAGAGAGCTGAGCTCGCTTGGGCCACTTGACAGCCAGAGGTGATGGTGGCCACAAGGGCCCTTGCCACCGCGCAGGCTCAGGGATTCCCGTTACTTTCATTCACTGTTTCATCCAAGCCCAGAACTGCTTTCTTTTGTAGGGGAAAGAGAATTTGGAAGGCAGCAAGTTGCTTACCTGTGGAAACGGTGAGAGTGTTTTTGGTGTATTCTCTCCGACCTCGGGAGTACAGTGCGGCGTCTGGCCAGGGGAGCGTACGCTGGAGTATTCTCTTAGACCTTGGAAATACAGTGTGGTTGGTGTCTGACCAGGAGAGTGTGCAGATAACTTCTTTCACTAAGTCCTAACCTCAGCTGCCTGAGTGTGTTGTAGAATTAACACAGTAATTTATCAGTGAGTGTTCTAAACACCGGTGTCCATATCTGAATAAATGACTCAGAACTCAAATGCGGCTGCCACTGTGGGAGTGTGGTGTCGGCAGCGTGGGGCACGCGGCTCTGGTCAGAAGCAGCCTGGGGCGCTCAGCAGGCAAACAACAGTGGGGGACATTAGGTGTGTTTTTTATTAATGGTCATGTGAACTGGAGATGCGTGTGTCACTCTGTAAAACTTTATACTTTGACTTACTCGTTTGACTTGATTGTTTGTCGTGAGCACGTTAACGCTAAAAATGCAGGGGGGTGTAACATCCTTTGTTCTTCCGCAGTGCGCAAGAGGCGAGTCGAAGGGGACTACCAGTAAATCCGCGCGGCGTGACCTTTGGAAGACTCCAGAAGGCCCCCAACAGCGTGTGGTGATGGCAGGTGTAGATCTCTCCTGGGTAGAAGGGAAAAGACTGGAAATCTTTTTTAAAACTATATACATTATTTTCTAGTTTAAGTTGTTATCAGTTTAAAATTGTAAATCAGTAGTAGGTGATATTTTATATTTTGAAGCATTTCCACTTTCTACTAGAATGTTTTTTAAGTTAGCATAATTGAATGATTTATAATGAGTCTTGGGCAAAAAATACAATTATAACAATGTTTCACAAGTCATTTATGCAGAAAAACTTCAACATTTTTAGGATCAGTATTTTTAAAATCCAAAAGGGACACTGCTGGTATCAAAATTGTTACTTCTAGATGTAAGGTCTTAAGAGCAAGCTTTTTGTTGCATAACCTGGAGACCTTTACACATTTTAAAAACACATGAATTTGGCAAGGGTAGGTTTTTTCTTTATCAAGGAAACAATACCAGAATTTTAAACCTGATGGCGCAAAATCTTGTGTTGAGGAGCGAGGCTGCCCTCCAGGGGACACAGTGCTCTGGTGGCTGTGTTGCCTGCGGCGTCCCTGCAGCGCCGGGGCAGGCGGGTAATTAAGCAAGGCATCGGCTCTGCCAGGCTGCATGCTTTGTTTAAAATATGATTATGTCTATTGCAAAGTTGTCATTTTAATGTGGGCATTACTAAATTTTGTAAAAGCATCTGAGAAAACAGCTGTTTCTTCTCCAATAAAAAGGCAGAGCCAAGTGTCAGTTACTGAGGGCAGGAGGAAGCAAGTGGCTGCCAGTCTGTGAGCCTCCGCGTGCTCTCATACGTGTGCCAGGCAGGTCCGGGCACTCGAGTACAGTCCAGAATCGCCTGGGTGTCCATCCAGCCAAAGGGAAGATCACTGCTTTTCAGAAGTCTGACTTTATTGTGTGCCTGCTTTCTTCCTGTGCTTCTTAAAACCCATGCTGTGAAGAGTCATCATGGTAGCACACTCGGAGTATTAAGGTACAGCCTGAACTGGGTGCTGTGGGCCTGCGCTACGGCTGCAGAGTGAGGGAGGGGAGGGAGAAGAGCCCCTGAGAGCCCAGCTCCACACCATGCTGGCCATGTCAAGAAAGGTGTTCAGGTGGAGGAGACGCGCTCACAGGCAGGCTCGCTCTCTGTTGTAGCCCTGGGGATTGAGCCCAGCTCGCTCTGCCACTGAGCTGCACTCCCACCGTTTCCGTTTTGAGATGGCTCGCCGAGTCACCTGTGGGCCCTGAGCCTGGGATCCCATGCCTTCGCCTCTCTCCATGCTGGGTCCCAGGCAGGCGCCACTATACCCAGCCTGTCAGTGATTTTTAGGAGCCTTTGGAACTGAATTATTATCTGCTGCTCTGGCTTTGGCCATTCCGTTATCTCCCAAGCCCAGCACCTTCTTGCAGAGCATGGAGATCAGCCTCTTAACAGCCTAGTGTTGCCCTTCAGAGAATGTGATGGTTTGGGTGTGAAGTCACTAGCCAGTGTTTCAAAGGGACCAAAGACTGACTTGCACTGTTCCCTTTCATTGAAAGGCTGCTGACTTTCTTTTCAAGTTCGCAGGCTTCCCTTCCCTTCTCTCTATGCCCTCTTCCCATTTTCTTCTCATGCACAGCTTTGGAATTGTACCTGGTTTTCTAGCGCCTGCGCAGTCCACCCAGGTGCGGGGTCCCACTGGGAGGGAAGTGGCCACTCACTCAGGCCAGGCCTCCTTGTGTGCCCCGGCCTGGAGCTCAGCTGAGAAGTGTGACCCCTCCTGTGAGGGTTTCTGTGTTCAGACACGAGGAGGGTGGAGCCTGCCTAGTCTCTGAGAGCACACAGTGCGGATGTCCCCTTTACCACAGCGGATCAGTGTGAGTCCAGGCAGTTTTCGGCGAACACCCTTCCGCTCTGCACTGCTGTGCACGGCGTAGTAGAAGAAAAGATTTATTGAGAAGTAGTTTAAAATATCAACACTGAATCAGTCAAATAGAAAAATCTTTGAAGAATTGTAATTGTAAGGGAGAACAATGGTGTTTACTTTGATCTATAAAAACCTGGCACCTCTTAACCTTTTAATAATCAGTATTTTGGGATTGCTCTAAAATTTTTATAATAGCACAGATAAACTAGGGTTTCGATACAGTCTTAATTTTTAAGCCAGACGTGGTGGCGTACGCCTGTAATCCCAGCACTTGGGAGGCCGAGGCAGGAGGATCCTCAAAAGTTCGAGACCAGCCTGGGCTACAAAGTGAGCTCAAGGCCAGCCTGAACTGCATAGCAGGACCTTGTCTCAAAAAAAATTTTTTAAGCCAGAAATTTTCTAAGATCTTAGGTTTTATAGCCTAACCAATTTAAAGGTGTCTGGTTATCTAAGAGAATATTCTTTGTAGTTTTAAATTGCTGATTTTAAAAAAGCTTGTAATTACTCATTTTTATAAAGTTTTATATTCATCTGGGGTTCTCATGTTTCTAGTGTGTCTACATGAAATTGTATGTTTTAAAAACTCAATACTAGTGGGTAATATAATTGTGATGGAAATGGAGTTTGATGCTGTATCCTTGTAGTTAAAGCCTAGTAAAAGTCGAAGAGTACGTTAAGTATACACTCTAAGGCGCCTGCCTGAAGAGCGGATCAGCGTTCGTGTAACAGCACCAGCAGCCATTGCAGGAGCATCTTGGCCGTGGGACTGCGCCGCCCTGCCTGTAGAAGACGGGCACCCCGGCAAGGTCCACGTAAACAGAACTTGGAACTGTCCCAGCTGCTCCGTTAGCTAATGTGTTCTCCAGAAGGGGGTTCTGTGATACAATAAAAAGTATAAAAGGAAAGTTTGCCTTGGTGAAGTACTAGCTGTGTTCTGTTGTACATTCTGTTTAGCCCTGTTCCCATTAAAGTGAGATGAGGGAGTCCACACCGTGCCCGTCCCCAGGCTGCCATGCGTCTTTCGTCCTAAAGCCAGGCTCTGTCGCGCCACGCAGAGCCCAGGCCCTAGCTTTGTGTGGTGCAGGGGCATCACCAGCTCTCCTCTGAGGACCTTTACTTGAGAAAATATATCCAGAGGCAAATGTTAATGTCATATTTTAATTAGGTCTTGGTCACTTTTCTCCACTGTAGTTCAGTATTGTAAGCCTTTCCCCATAAACAGAGCAACTTGGGACTTGTTTTCGAGGACAGGTGTAACCCAGATTGGCCTGAACCTCCTGATCCTCCCGTGTCAGAGTCTCCCGAGTGCTGGGATTACAGGCTGAGCCACCTCACCCAACAGACTGTGTCATGAAACATCTATAATAGTCTGTTAATTTTAAATTCCACTTTGCAGGAATTTGGTCATTTCAGAGGGACCAAACCTCAGGGTTTCTTAGGGGGAAAAGATATTACTGGGTGAGTCTTCACTAATACGTGAAGAAGTAAAGCCAGTGTCTTTACAAGTCAGATTAAAAATAGATTGTCATACCAAAACACAGCAAGGTTGTGTTCACTTAACTGTACCAGGGTCACACACTTAGGATTATCCCCTCCCTCACAGCATAGAAGCCTTCATTCTTTCCAACAGACTCTGGTGTTTTAAGTAACGCGGCACAACTAGTTGGCATAAGACCTTCCAGGTACTGTAGTTTAAACGTTGACAATAAAGTTTAAGCACTTGGTGAGTATATATGGCAATTTTTAAAAGTTTAAACTTTATCTCTGCTCAAAAAGAAAGGGTTTTTTTGTTTTCTTTTTTGAGATATGGTCTTTCTAAGTTGCCGGGGCTGGTGCAGACCTGGGCTCAAGCAGTCCTCCCTCAGCCTCATGAGTAGCTGAAACAGGCGTGTGCCACTGCACCTGGTCGTAAGATAAGTTTTTTATTCCATTGTTCCAGGTGTTTGGATTTGTGTTGATTTTTTGGCCTTCTTGAGACAGGGTCTCACTGTGCAGTTCAGGCTGGCCCTTTAACTCACTTTGTAGCCCAGGCTGGCTTTGAACTTGCAAAGATCCTCCTGCCTCAGCCTCCTGAGTGCTGAGATTACAGGCATGCACCACCACACCCAGCTGTCTTAGTTTGTTTTTTAAAGGTATGTACACAGCATAAAACGTTTGTAATTTCAAGTAAATTCTTACACTTTTTTTCAGCTTTTGGGATGAATTATAGTGGGGCTTGGTTATATGGAGAAGCATGAAAATCACCTTTGTGATTTTCAGCACATCATCCTTTGTCACATAGCAGCTTAGGTGCGTGTTTTCCAGTGCCAGTAATCCTAATGCTTTTTTTTTCTTCTTCAACTTTTACAGCTACAAAAGCAATGAATTTTATAACACTGACATTTAAGTAAAATTATATAAGTAAAATTATTCATCCAGTTCATAACACAGTGGACTTTCTTTTGAAAAATATATACTGCAGGCATTTGAAACTTAATGCTATATAGTGGAACAAGTAATTTCAATAAAGTTTATCAAGTATCCCATAGACTTCTTTTTCTCAGCACAGGGACTAAACCCAGGACCCTCACATGGAGCTAAATCCCAGTCCTTTTATTTCTTGAGACAAGGTCTTGCTAAATTGCCCAAGCTGGGCTGGATCTTGTGATCTTCCTGCCTCAGCCTCCCCAGTGGTGGGATTACAGGCCTATGCCACCACACAAGGCTTTATATAGATCTTTTACAAGAGTAAGCATGGGGCCTGGGAGGGTAGTTCAGCGGCACAGCGCCTGCCTGGAAAGCGCAAGGTCCTGAGTTCTGTTCCCGGTACCAAAAAACAAAAGCAAGCCTGACTTCAGTTCCTGTATCTTGCAGTCCATTCCTGCTGTCTCCATCAAGAACAAGCTGTGACTGTCCCTGAGTCACTCTGCTTCCTGATGGGGACTACTGCATCCCCCAAAAGCTTGTATGAAGCCTCAGAGGAGCGGGGCTGTGGAAGGTGACAGTGCGGGTTTGTGCTGCACAGCAGGCCTGGCACACGGATCGTGCTCCTGTGTGGAGAGATGTGAGACTCCAGCAGACCTCGGCCCTGCCCTTGCAGCTCTGAGGCATGGAGCCCAGGCCACTCCTGTGAGATGTGAGAACACTTGCAGCCACCACACCCTCTTGAACCACCCAACGTGGCAGTTTCCTGAGGGCCCATTGGAGGCCGAGCCCGTCCACAGTGTCCTCCCCGTGCTGCAGGGAGCGGGGCCGCAGAACAGCGTGGGGCTTCTGACCACACTCCGGGCCGGCCGCGCACTTCCTGTGGGGCCCAACAGGCCAAACCCAGGCTGTGCAGCTGAGCACCCCCTTTCCCGCCAAGCCCCACCCACGTCCCTGCAAGGCAGTGTTTTTAAAAGATCAAAGCTGAAGCCAAAAAAAGGTAATTCAACAAAAGGAGCCAGCGTGACCCTGAATAAGGCACATGTCAGGTGCCGCCTTCTTAGACAACTGTTTATCGGGGATTCTGCACTTTGACTGACAACACTGCCCTGTGCTATTTCTGACGGTGACACCTACAGCAGGGTGTACGGGAGCCCTCAAATACCTGTCTACCCAGGACCTCAGGGGACTTTGCTTGGGTTGGATTTCTGCAGGGGACACACTGGGCATGAACTGGCCCTCACCCCATGACTGCTCTCGCAGGGGGGCTCGGGAGGATGCAGACAGCGCGGGTCCTGTGCCAGCAGCCACAATGCCAGCTACCACCAGAGGTGGGGGCGGGGCCCTGGACGCCGGCCTGCAGGGCAGACGTGCGGCAGGGACAGCGCGGTGCGTTCCAGCGCATCCTCTCCGTGTGCGGTGGTAACAAAACAGCGTGCTCTGACACAGACTTGCTTTGAAGGGTTCTTATTACAATTAAAATTGCACAAATGCAAATCGTTTCAATCAAAATAGCTCGTTTACATATTTATAAAACAAACTGTACAACTGATATAAAAGTCCACATGTCACGCCTCAGTCGTCGTCTTCCTCCTCCTCGTCACTGATCACATACTTCTTATGCTTCTTACTGGCCTTGTCATCGTCTTCCGCCTTCCTCTTTCCAGACGGCTCGCCTTCCTGAACAGACATTTCAAGAAATCCAAGTCAACCCATGACGAATGTAACTGTTGTGTACTGCAAACACGTACTAAGAAAAATTTTTAAAAATCGAAGTCAAAAGAACATTTCTAGGATGTGACAGGTGAGCTGAGTACCTTCCTAGAAACTCTACCTGTTTTAGTAACAGCTTTCGCTAGATGCACACACACCACCCCTCCCTCAGCCCAAGGTCCAGGCCAGTTTTCAAATTTATGGGCGCCTGAGGCTTTACAGAGCACCTCCTCCCCAGGGCCTCTCCCCGCACGGTGCCCACGGCGCCCCTGCAGCGCCACCTTTGCAGAGCTCACAAGTGAGCACCTCCAGAGCCGAGGCGGGGTTCAGGTGGGCCCTGGTGGCCTCACTTGGTCGCACAGGCACAAGGGACGCCGGGGGAAGGTGGCCGGAGCCTGGCCCGCGCTGGGTGTGGGTGGCCTGGAGGGCGCTGCGGTCCGCTCGCCAGCAGCACGGTCCCTGTGCACAGAGGCGGCAGCTGCGGGTGCGGGAGGCGAGCGGTCCGGCCCAGG